GTCTGCTGATGCAACAGTGCAGCTGAGACCCGTCACTTATTGCGAGCTGCGACTTCAGACGTGAAGCCGACACGTTCAGTTCACGGTCAGATCAACAGGAAGGAGTCCCAAAGTGGTTTTTGGTGAGCGTTTGCTGGACGTCAGCTCCAAAATAACTCACCGCAAGTCAAAGAAGTCGTCGGTCTTCCTGCGATTTATTCAAACTGATGCAGGAATCATGTGAATCTGAACATGTTCTTATCATTTCAGTAGAAAATAACCAGCTTTAAGTGGTTTAATGTGCTGAAAATACGAGTTTTTATATTGATTTAGGCGAATGAGGCTGCAGGTAGAGTGTGGACTTTCTGTTTTTCCTGCGAGCAGCTACGATTTCAGTCCACCAAGACTCTCTTTGGTTCATCACAGCTCCAGTAGAATCGTTCTCCTGCTGCATTAAATTGCAATCATTATAAGATCACAGTGTTTTTTATCATCCTGATGAACAATCTCCACTAAACACGGGTTTAAATAAGCAAATCTACAGTCTTAAAGAGTCTGAAAAGGCTGAAGAAGTGAACACAAAGGAGATCAACACACTGACGTCTGTGGAAAAATGTTTGATTTAATCACAAGATTAAAGTGCAGATTTGGTTTTGCTGCTACTAATCTGATTTCAGTCCAGCAAGACTTTCTTTGTTCTCTGCAACTCCAGAAAAAAAAAAACAACTTTTTGGGGAATTTCTGTCCTAAAAATATCAGATTCTCCTCATGACGTCCAGATCGTGCATCTGGAAACAGACACAGGAGCTCTGAAGGTTAAAGAAGCTTCGCAAACAGCAGGAGAAATAATATTATGTCTGCAAACAAGCGGAGGAGGAAAAGACGAGGCGAGAAGGAGGACGAGATAAGGGAGAGGAGGACCATAGAAGGAGATCTATAACCTCTGTCACATAATCTGCTGAAAATTCATCAGCTTGACTATCTATGGTGAGACGCACACGCCGGGCAGCAAACACACGTGTCGGACCTTCTGCTCGGCCAGGAGTCACATGAGGGCTTTTTTCTCTGCACCAGTGGAGGGTCGAGGAGGAAAAACTCCACGAACACACTCTGACGTGTGGAAAACCCAGAGCGAGGTCAGCGAGGGAGCAGCGCCGCGATTATCGGCCTTCAGGATACAAAGTTTGGCATCGAGACACGAATCCTGAGGCTGCGTCCGAACTGAAGCTGATCTAAACGACTCTGGAGCTTTGGGACGCTTCCTTGGAAACTCTGCAGATCTTGTTTTCGGTTTGGGCAGATTTATCACGCTCTGATCTCGTGACCTTTTCCCGGATAAAAAGCAAGAGCGTCGGCCAAAAGCAGCAGCTCCAGTGTGGTTCTGAGGAAGACGCTGAAGCTTGTGTTGGAAATCTCAGTGTGTCGGTGTTTAAGTAACAGAGATGAACCCAATGAACCCAACTGGTGTCATTTACAGCAAAACATTTAGCCTCATAATTACACATCAGTGGTTGTGTTTCTTCAAATCAACTCAAAAAATAAAGACAATCTTAAATAAAAATCCAACCTACAAAGACCCACAAAAACATTATTTGGTGTTTAAAGGAAAAACAGAAAGTAAAGACGGTTTAAAGAAGATTAAAACTCAGTAAAGTCGGGAAAGTCTCTCAGAATAAAGTGTGGTTTGAGTCGGGACACTATAAAGGTCACCGCCTGAACCTGATAACTTCATTTACTTCATGTTATTAAATATGTTCTGTCGTTATCTTCAACGAATCAGCAGAACAGCAGGCGGCGAACTGAAACTAATTTTTTACTCAGTGTTGGTTCATTTTTTCCTGCAGCTCCTCGGAAACAGAACGAAGACGGAGAGAAAAGTCTTGTGTGCAGAACGACACACGACTACAGAAATCATTTAAATGAAAATAATGAAAACTGAATTTCTTTCTTTGCAAAAAAAAAACCCCAAAGAAATCTGAATCCAACATGTCCAACATTTTCTAGGAGTTTCCACAAGGCTCCTCTGTTCTCTGGTTCTGATCCATGCTGCATTTATTTACTGATCCAGCAGGTTTTATTTGTCATCTCTGTTTTGTCCCTTGTTTGTTATTTTGTCTTGTCTTTGCCGTTTGTGTCTCTTTTTTGTCATTTTGCGTTTTCTTTTTCTTATTTTGAGTCTTGTTTTTGTTGCTTTCTGTTCTGTTTTGTTCATTTGTGTCTCTTTGTGGTTTTTCCGTCTCCACAAACTCCAGATATTTAACTATTTACACGTTTCCAGCCTGTTTAAATCAACAGGTTCAATATTTTTTGCAGGTTTCTTCTTGACTAAGTATTTACATTGACAGAACATCATCATCTGCAAAGAAAACAACAAGCAGAGGCTATGACGCATCTGTACAACATCTGTAATGCAGAGCAACATGAATGTTACACATCTGGTCCTCTATCCAAACACAGAAACAGATCAGTTTGGTGGCTGAATTAGGGGCTAAGTTAGAATTTTTCTGGCAGATATTTCTAATTTAGGGCACAAATTTGTAAAGCTTAAGCTGAATATTCACAGCGTTACAGATTTAACACCAACAAAATACGTACTGCTCTATGTTCTAATGCCAAGACAAGAACCTCATATATAAACTGATTACAACATGTATTTTTTTTGTTTTTTTTCAGGTGGCATCGCAGTTTGAACAGGACTGCATGATGTGCGATGGAATTAAAGTAATCATTTTTTTTTAAAATGAAGAAACCTTCTGCATAAAGTACATCCTGAATTGAAGAATTTGTGATTCGTTAATTGAATTAATTGTTCAGCCCCAGATGAAGTGACATCAATCAGCATTGATGTTCCAGCAGAAGTCATGCACAGTCACATTTTCAGGTCGAACTGAACTAAAACTCTTCAAAAACCCTGAGCCGATGTATCTTAATCATTATTTCAGACAGAAAAGCAGCAGCGGTTTGGCTCTTGGAGCACAAACACCGAGCATTTTCCCCCTTCTGTCTCTTTCTAAAGCATCTTTCTCCAGACAGCAGCAGTCTGAGGCT